AGGGCTCCCTGCCTGGGATCCAAAGGGGGGAGCTGCCCCAGCAAAGGGCCTGACAGGCTGGGGGGAGCATCCCCTGGGAGGGACAGGCTGCAGGGGCAAAGGGATAGTGGTGGGCCAGGCTTAGGAGGCAGGACGGCTGCACAAGGAGGGGACAGCTCCAGCCCCTGCCTGGTTCTTGGTGTATGTGCCAGAGCTGGGCTATCGGGCTGCTCCCCTTTGCCTGGAGCCGGCGTTTCCTACTCCATTGGCACTTGCTGGCAGCCCCCTTTTGGGTGGCCTGCATGCGCTGGGCCCTGCTCGGGGACCAGGCTCCCTGCTCGGGGACCAGGCTCCCTGCTCGGGGACCAGGCTCCGTGCTCGGGGACCAGGCTCTGTGCTCAGAGCCCTGCTCGGGGACCAGGCTCTGTGCTCAGAGCCCTGCTCGGGGACCAGGCTCTGTGCTCAGAGCCCTGCTCGGGGACCAGGCTCTGTGCTCAGAGCCCTGCTCGGGGACCAGGCTCTGTGCTCAGAGCCCTGCTCGGGGACCAGGCTCTGTGCTCAGAGCCCTGCTCGGGGACCAGGCTCTGTGCTCAGAGCCCTGCTCGGGGACCAGGCTCTGTGCTCAGAGCCCTGCTCGGGGACCAGGCTCTGTGCTCAGAGCCCTGCTCGGGGACCAGGCTCTGTGCTCAGAGCCCTGCTCGGGGACCAGGCTCTGTGCTCAGAGCCCTGCTCGGGGACCAGGCTCTGTGCTCAGAGCCCTGCTCGGGGACCAGGCTCTGTGCTCAGAGCCCTGCTCGGGGACCAGGCTCTGTGCTCAGAGCCCTGCTCGGGGACCAGGCTCTGTGCTCAGAGCCCTGCTCGGGGACCAGGCTCTGTGCTCAGAGCCCTGCTCGGGGACCAGGCTCTGTGCTCAGAGCCCTGCTCGGGGACCAGGCTCTGTGCTCAGAGCCCTGCTCGGGGACCAGGCTCTGTGCTCAGAGCCCTGCTCGGGGACCAGGCTCTGTGCTCAGAGCCCTGCTCGGGGACCAGGCTCTGTGCTCAGAGCCCTGCTCGGGGACCAGGCTCTGTGCTCAGAGCCCTGCTCGGGGACCAGGCTCTGTGCTCAGAGCCCTGCTCGGGGACCAGGCTCTGTGCTCAGAGCCCTGCTCGGGGACCAGGCTCTGTGCTCAGAGCCCTGCTCGGGGACCAGGCTCTGTGCTCAGAGCCCTGCTCGGGGACCAGGCTCTGTGCTCAGAGCCCTGCTCGGGGACCAGGCTCTGTGCTCAGAGCCCTGCTCGGGGACCAGGCTCTGTGCTCAGAGCCCTGCTCGGGGACCAGGCTCTGTGCTCAGAGCCCTGCTCGGGGACCAGGCTCTGTGCTCAGAGCCCTGCTCGGGGACCAGGCTCTGTGCTCAGAGCCCTGCTCGGGGACCAGGCTCTGTGCTCAGAGCCCTGCTCGGGGACCAGGCTCTGTGCTCAGAGCCCTGCTCGGGGACCAGGCTCTGTGCTCAGAGCCCTGCTCGGGGACCAGGCTCTGTGCTCAGAGCCCTGCTCGGGGACCAGGCTCTGTGCTCAGAGCCCTGCTCGGGGACCAGGCTCTGTGCTCAGAGCCCTGCTCGGGGACCAGGCTCTGTGCTCAGAGCCCTGCTCGGGGACCAGGCTCTGTGCTCAGAGCCCTGCTCGGGGACCAGGCTCTGTGCTCAGAGCCCTGCTCGGGGACCAGGCTCTGTGCTCAGAGCCCTGCTCGGGGACCAGGCTCTGTGCTCAGAGCCCTGCTCGGGGACCAGGCTCTGTGCTCAGAGCCCTGCTCGGGGACCAGGCTCTGTGCTCAGAGCCCTGCTCGGGGACCAGGCTCTGTGCTCAGAGCCCTGCTCGGGGACCAGGCTCTGTGCTCAGAGCCCTGCTCGGGGACCAGGCTCTGTGCTCAGAGCCCTGCTCGGGGACCAGGCTCTGTGCTCAGAGCCCTGCTCGGGGACCAGGCTCTGTGCTCAGAGCCCTGCTCGGGGACCAGGCTCTGTGCTCAGAGCCCTGCTCGGGGACCAGGCTCTGTGCTCAGAGCCCTGCTCGGGGACCAGGCTCTGTGCTCAGAGCCCTGCTCGGGGACCAGGCTCTGTGCTCAGAGCCCTGCTCGGGGACCAGGCTCTGTGCTCAGAGCCCTGCTCGGGGACCAGGCTCTGTGCTCAGAGCCCTGCTCGGGGACCAGGCTCTGTGCTCAGAGCCCTGCTCGGGGACCAGGCTCTGTGCTCAGAGCCCTGCTCGGGGACCAGGCTCTGTGCTCAGAGCCCTGCTCGGGGACCAGGCTCTGTGCTCAGAGCCCTGCTCGGGGACCAGGCTCTGTGCTCAGAGCCCTGCTCGGGGACCAGGCTCTGTGCTCAGAGCCCTGCTCGGGGACCAGGCTCTGTGCTCAGAGCCCTGCTCGGGGACCAGGCTCTGTGCTCAGAGCCCTGCTCGGGGACCAGGCTCTGTGCTCAGAGCCCTGCTCGGGGACCAGGCTCTGTGCTCAGAGCCCTGCTCGGGGACCAGGCTCTGTGCTCAGAGCCCTGCTCGGGGACCAGGCTCTGTGCTCAGAGCCCTGCTCGGGGACCAGGCTCTGTGCTCAGAGCCCTGCTCGGGGACCAGGCTCTGTGCTCAGAGCCCTGCTCGGGGACCAGGCTCTGTGCTCAGAGCCCTGCTCGGGGACCAGGCTCTGTGCTCAGAGCCCTGCTCGGGGACCAGGCTCTGTGCTCAGAGCCCTGCTCGGGGACCAGGCTCTGTGCTCAGAGCCCTGCTCGGGGACCAGGCTCTGTGCTCAGAGCCCTGCTCGGGGACCAGGCTCTGTGCTCAGAGCCCTGCTCGGGGACCAGGCTCTGTGCTCAGAGCCCTGCTCGGGGACCAGGCTCTGTGCTCAGAGCCCTGCTCGGGGACCAGGCTCCGTGCGCCGGGCCATGCTCGGGGACCAGGCTCCCTGCTCGGGGACCAGGCTCCGTGCGCTGGGCCGTGCTCGGGGACCAGGCTCCGTGCGCTGGGCCGTGCTCGGGGACCAGGCTCCGTGCGCTGGGCCGTGCTCGGGGACCAGGCTCCGTGCGCTGGGCCGTGCTCGGGGACCAGGCTCCGTGCGCTGGGCCGTGCTCGGGGACCAGGCTCCGTGCGCTGGGCCGTGCTCGGGGACCAGGCTCCGTGCGCTGGGCCGTGCTCGGGGACCAGGCTCCGTGCGCTGGGCCGTGCTCGGGGACCAGGCTCCGTGCGCTGGGCCGTGCTCGGGGACCAGGCTCCGTGCGCTGGGCCGTGCTCGGGGACCAGGCTCCGTGCGCTGGGCCGTGCTCGGGGACCAGGCTCCGTGCGCTGGGCCGTGCTCGGGGACCAGGCTCCGTGCGCTGGGCCGTGCTCGGGGACCAGGCTCCGTGCGCTGGGCCGTGCTCGGGGACCAGGCTCCGTGCGCTGGGCCGTGCTCGGGGACCAGGCTCCGTGCGCTGGGCCGTGCTCGGGGACCAGGCTCCGTGCGCTGGGCCGTGCTCGGGGACCAGGCTCCGTGCGCTGGGCCGTGCTCGGGGACCAGGCTCCGTGCGCTGGGCCGTGCTCGGGGACCAGGCTCCGTGCGCTGGGCCGTGCTCGGGGACCAGGCTCCGTGCGCTGGGCCGTGCTCGGGGACCAGGCTCCGTGCGCTGGGCCGTGCTCGGGGACCAGGCTCCGTGCGCTGGGCCGTGCTCGGGGACCAGGCTCCGTGCGCTGGGCCGTGCTCGGGGACCAGGCTCCGTGCGCTGGGCCGTGCTCGGGGACCAGGCTCCGTGCGCTGGGCCGTGCTCGGGGACCAGGCTCCGTGCGCTGGGCCGTGCTCGGGGACCAGGCTCCGTGCGCTGGGCCGTGCTCGGGGACCAGGCTCCGTGCGCTGGGCCGTGCTCGGGGACCAGGCTCCGTGCGCTGGGCCGTGCTCGGGGACCAGGCTCCGTGCGCTGGGCCGTGCTCGGGGACCAGGCTCCGTGCGCTGGGCCGTGCTCGGGGACCAGGCTCCGTGCGCTGGGCCGTGCTCGGGGACCAGGCTCCGTGCGCTGGGCCGTGCTCGGGGACCAGGCTCCGTGCGCTGGGCCGTGCTCGGGGACCAGGCTCCGTGCGCTGGGCCGTGCTCGGGGACCAGGCTCCGTGCGCTGGGCCGTGCTCGGGGACCAGGCTCCGTGCGCTGGGCCGTGCTCGGGGACCAGGCTCCGTGCGCTGGGCCGTGCTCGGGGACCAGGCTCCGTGCGCTGGGCCGTGCTCGGGGACCAGGCTCCGTGCGCTGGGCCGTGCTCGGGGACCAGGCTCCGTGCGCTGGGCCGTGCTCGGGGACCAGGCTCCGTGCGCTGGGCCGTGCTCGGGGACCAGGCTCCGTGCGCTGGGCCGTGCTCGGGGACCAGGCTCCGTGCGCTGGGCCGTGCTCGGGGACCAGGCTCTGTGCTCAGGGCCCTGCGCGGGGACCAGGCTCCGTGCGCCGCGCCCTGCTCTCAGGTGCCATGGCTGTGACTGTCCATGCAGCTCTGCACAATGAGCCTCTTGCAAGGTGCTAACCCTAACGCAGCCGGTGGGTCAGAGCGCAGGGTTCACGGGCTCTTGGCAGGATGGGCAGGGTCTGCCCCTGAATGCTGAACCCTGGCAAAGGCCCTTCCTGCCGCGGGGACCAGGCTCCGTGCGCCGCGCCCTGCTCTCAGGTGCCATGGCTGTGACTGTCCATGCAGCTCTGCACAATGAGCCTCTTGCAAGGTGCTAACCCTAACGCAGCCGGTGGGTCAGAGCGCAGGGTTCACGGGCTCTTGGCAGGATGGGCAGGGTCTGCCCCTGAATGCTGAACCCTGGCAAAGGCCCTTCCTGCCGGCTGTGGGGCCCTGGGCCGGGGGCGCCATCTCCGGGCTTCACCTCTGGCCTGCTCCTTCCCCAAGGCCCCCGCCCAGCTCCCTCCCCCTCCCCCTCCCCAGCACCGTGTGTGTGGCCATTAGATCTGCCTGGACCCCTTTGCTCCCCTGCAGCTGGGCTGGGCTGGCCCGGAGGATGCGGGCGGCACAGGGGCCTGGCGCTGACCTGGCCTGTGTCTTTCAGAAATGACCCTCCTTTCCTCGCGGCCCACGGCCCTGGAGGAAGCAGCCGGCACAGCTGCCACGGAAAAGCAAAGGATGCTGGAGAAAAGGTCAAAGGTCATTGAGGAGCTCCTGCAGACCGAACGGGATTACATCCGCGACCTGGAGATGTGTGTGGAGCGGATCATGGTGCCTCTGCAGCAGGCGCAGGTGGGGAGCCCCTGCTGCTCTGACCACGGCACCGGCTGGCTGCTCCGGGGCATGGACCCCAGTGGCAGTCGTGGAATCCCCTGCTCGTGGTGTCGTTTAGCCCTGGCTGTGCTTTCTGCTGTGGCTCAGGATACTTGGACCATTCTCATTAGCCATAGAAATGTCCAGCCCTCTTCTGAGTATTGCCAAGCACTTCCCATCCCCAGTCCAGTGGCAGTGAGTTCCACAGGAGAGGTACCGGTGGGGTAGAGCCGCGTCGGCTTGGAGCTGTTCTGGCTTTGGTGGCCTGAGAGAACACGTCTGCCAGGGGACGATGGATGTGGGGTGCAGCCCCTGAGTGAGGTTTTCCGTTGCTAGCTGCACTGCTCTGGACAGGGGCCTGGAGAGGCGGCTGGGGGGGCGCAGGCATGCCTGGTGGGGGCGGGGGCAGAGTGTGTGGTTGAAGTGGAGGTAAGTGGCAGAATGTGCTGTGTTGGGGAGCAGGGGTGCAGGAGCCAGGTCCCTGTGGGAGCCAGAGGGCATCAATGATCTTTGGTCAGGGAGCAGAGGCTGAGGCTGCTGGGGACTTAAGGAGGTAGATTGGTGGGGTTACTGTAGGGCCAAGCAGGTCAATCCAGCCCACAGACACCCTGCCGCTCCCCCTTCCCCGGCCAATCAGAGTCTGGGGAGCACTGGGGCCCACCAGCTATTCAGAACAGCTGGTGGTTCGGGGATGGGGAGTGCTGGGTTGAGACGGGGGCAGGTTGCTGGGGTGGGACGAGGGCGCGAGGCAGGTTGCTGGGGTGCGGGGTGTGGGGCTCTGTTTTCAGTGGCGCAG